TATTATACAATAAAAAATATTTTAAAATATAAAAATATGGTTAAATTTCAAAAGTCAAAAACTCTAAAAATTTTATCTTTTTGTAAAAAATTGATGCATTTCTTAAATAATTTTCCAGAAAAAAAATTGCACAAGCATTGTAGTCAAAAAAATTTTGCATTTTTGAATGTCAAAAAGTCTTTTAATTGCCTCTTGCTGAAAGCATTAATTCATGGCGTTAAGAACAACGTCAATTTTATTTTCATTAATGTATTACATCAAGTTTATAATTGAGTTCACCAGCAGAACACTACCCAAGTTAGAAAAATTGCAATTTACAGTTTTCGCCAGTTGTCAGCTCTGCACATCTGTATGCATTGCCTGCAGAAGAACCACGTCCCAAGTCAGGCTCAATCTGGCTGTAAAAGACGTCAAGACTTTGGGGACGATTGAACACCATCCCAATTTTGTCAATTACTCTGTGATAGAATGTTTGGGGTTATTGAACATGTAGAGCAGAAAGTTAAAACAAGAGAAATGTATAAACATTAATACAAAATGATAGAAAAAAGGTTTAACGTTTGGTCAAGTTGGAATAATTTTACTGATACTGCAAAGCATCAGGATCAATTTTTTCAAAGGTTCATTTAAAAAAAAAAAAAAAAAAAGCTAATAATTACCAAACCAAAATTTTTATTTTTCTGCCAGCCATAAATATGAAATGGTTGTGGTTGTTTCATAAGAAAAATATTAACACTGTCCATCAGTGTTATCTTTTACTTGAAATATTACTACAAGTACTTCCAACAAATTTCAGATTGTCTTCTTCGGGTATAGAATAACGGAATCTTAATAGAACTTTAAAATTTAATATATACATTAATGTGTTCCAAACAGCAAATTTAAAACGTATTCCTTAAGATGTGTTAATACATTGAAAAAATAATTATTCAATGTCCACACAACAAACAGGGTAGAAATGCTGGTTATCAAAAACATAAAACCACAAGTCGAACACTTCCCAAGCATTTAAGACTGTGTGATATATATTCAAATGATGCGAGCAGATCCAAGTAAGGTGGCCTTTTGCAGCTGACAGATAGTAATTTTGTCAATATTTATGGCTTGTAAGTGCCAACTAAGATCTTTTGGCACAGCCTCCAATGTGCCGATAATTACTGAGACCACCTATACTGGTTTATGCCTGAGATGTTGCAGTTCAATTTTTAGGTCATGATATCGGCTAAGTTTTTCTTGTTGTTTTTCGTCAATTCTACTGTCATATGATAAAAATTTACTCAATAGTGAGGTTGTGGCCAAAGTTTTCATCTCTAAAATGTGAATGTCAAATGTCAAGTGCTGCTTACAAGATAGTGGTGCTTAACGTTTGATGTTCACATTTTAGAGATAAAAACTTCGGCCGCAACCTTGCTAATAACACAACATAGGCGGTCTATGGTCTACAAATCAGTGGATTACAGTGGCTAGGTATATAAAGTTTGGCCATGCAACATATGTCCATCATATTCTTTCCATTCTGGATTTCTCTGAATGACATTCAAATGGAAAGTTTTTGTTTCTGAAAAGTTTTTTGATTTTTAAAGTCAAAAATCAAATTATTATATTTATTAAGAATTTAATTTTTAATAAAAACAAAATTTAAGGCTAGATTGTTTACAAACAAAAAAAATTAAAATTTTTAATATTTCTCAAAAAATTAAATATTACATTTTAATAAGCATTACAGTAGAGCATTGATTATCCAAATCAATTGGGGACTGGGGTTGTTTGGAAAATCAATTTTTCAGATAACCGATTACCATACAGTGGTATCTCAGGATACAAATGCCCCAGCATACAAAATTTTCAGGATACGACATGAAATTCGAATATATTTTTACTCCACGATATGAACAAAAACTCACCATACGACGTTACATTAGTTCGCAGCACCATTTTTTATTCACTTCTGTTCATTGGTCTGTCTGCGTGTTTGCTTTGTCGTGGAAGGATCTCGCTCGATAAAGGAAATCTTAAGGTATTATCAGAAAGTGACTGATTTTATTGAAAAGAAACATCCCGAAAAGGTTCACACTGGCCGTATTGCTGCTCAGATTAATGACATTTGCCTAAGTCATTTTAGAAACATTTTAAAAAGTAAGCAAACACTTTGGATAGATATTTTATCAAGCGACCTCTATCCAGTGAAAGTGCTGGTGGAAGTGAAGGAAAGAAAGCAAAAAGCAGTGAATAAAAAATAAAAAAAATATTAAAAAGTTAAAAAATCAGTGTTAAGTTATTTTTAAGTTATTGTTACATTACATTATGTAAGTTAAGTTTTAGTATTATTTCCCTTCTCCCTCTCTTCTGCCACTAGTTTACACCTCCACCGTCGTTTATCTTCAAAGATAAAGTGCAATTAAAACTATATTTTTTTATCGATTATTATTCTATTATGGTTATTTATACATTTACAACTACAAAACACATTTTTCAGTGTTTTCCTTACTATAGTTATTTTTTTCTTAATGTACTACTTAGCTTTAATTTGAGTGTGTTTTTCATGTTGGAATGAATTATTTGGTTTTACATGTAATCATATGGGAAAAAATGATTCACCTTACGACATTTTCATGATACGATCTCAGTTTCGGAATGGATTAATTTTGTATCCTGAGGTACCACTGTATATCTGTGCAGATAAGACAAGGTATAAATTTTTGGTGAAGTTTTATAGTTTTAGCATTATATCTGTCCTATAAGATAACCCCCAAACTATCAACAGCCTATGAATTTAGTTTATTTCAGTGATTATCATCTGGATAATAACATTGTATAGTGTATACAGAATTATGTCCTATTTGTAATTTTTTGAAATAACTTCAAATTTTGTTTTCTTGCATCTGGCATCACTGCCTTGCGATTGTTGCAAACATTCACACTGATTCGGGCATTCTGGTAATGACCTTGACTATTCACAAAAACGTTGTATGGGCTATTCTATTTTGTGGACATACCCTACTCTCTACTAGTAATAATTACAATTTATACAAATTTCAATCAAATTTTTTTTCTATCTGTCCTATAAGATATCCCAGATTTTGGGGGTCTTTTTTTTTATTCAACTATCGTCTTATCTGAGCAGATATACAGTATGTACAAAAAAATATATTAATCCAATGTTGAAATTCGTTCAAATCCCAGCACATCCTTAAGTACTCTCTCATGGTCACGCCAGTGCTACCAGCTAAAACACGCACACCAACAAAAATAATATTGGACTAGCCCAAGACATAGCCAAAAATTGCAGTGTCACAGCACTAGCAGAAATCTAAATTTGCCAACTGGAAAGCTTTCAGCTAATTGACATTTCGGTTAACCGATATTTGAAAAATCAATGAATGCTCTACTGTATTATGGTAACATACATATATCATAAAATGCAAGAAATATTTTAAATCAGAAAAATCATTAAAAATGTAGTAAAGTGTTTGATCAAGTCATATTAAACATCGATATTGTTATAAAAAGATACTCATAAGTAGCAAATTTATGATAGTTTACATAAACTTTGCATAAAAAGCAATATATTTACTACTAAAGATATTTGTTTTTTAAGCTTTTTTAGAGCTTATTTTTAATCTAAAAATTAAATATTTTTCATAATTATTTCATGTAGATTATACAATTAAAAAAAAATTTTTTTTTTTGTTAAATTTACAGGAAGCATGATTAGACATTTGATTTCCATCCCCTACAAAACATACATCAAAAAAACAAACAAATCTTAAAAGTGATACAGTGCTTTTTTACATTTAATTTCAAAAACAGGAAATTCAAGATATAAAAATTCATAAAAATTATTAAAGTTTTGCAAAATATGATATAAAAAAACATCATTGGGTTAAATTTGATTAAAAAAAAAAAAAGAGAGTAAAAAGTAAGTAAATAAGCAAAGTTTTCTTCATGAAATTTGGAGTGAAAGCCAATCTTAATAGATAAGACTATTAAAATACTTGTAATAAATTAGCCATTCATAATATTTAATTCTTTCAAATAAAAATGGGAAGCTCAGGCAAAATCTAGTGATATTGATATTGAAGTCAAGAGTGAAAGACAGATTATATATTTTGTTAAAAGTAAGGTATATCTTATTAATAGCAGAAGTAATTTTGCATAATGTGAAATATTTTAAATTCTTTCAGTTTAGTTTTAACAAATGTCTTTAAATTTAAATATTTTTTTGATAAATTTAAAGTTTGTTTTTATGAGTCTTGTAACCTGAGTAGTTTAAAAATGTACAAAAAAGCTAAATATTATTATTATTACGGTAGAACATCAATTATCCGACTCAATTGGGGACTGGGGTTGGTCAAATAAATGAAAAAACAGATAACCGAAAAGTATGAAAAAATACATTATTAGTATAGTATATTAGTATAACCCATGTAATTAGTATATTAGTATATCACTATTAGCCTACTTCGCATTGGATTTTCATCGGTGTTAAGCCTAACAAAATTTTTTTAAAATAATAATCGTCGCTATTGTAGCATTAAAAATTATTTTATTGCTCACAAAACAAACAACCACTCATAATTAGAAAATTAAGCCTTGTTTAAATACTGTACTGGCCTCCCTTTCATGGTCAAGCTAGTGTTGCTAGCTAAAACACGCAAAAATTTAACAAAAATAATATTAAACTAGCCAAATATTGTAGCACCACATCACTAGCAGACATTTGAATTTGCCGACTAGAACGCGATCGGTTAACCGATGTGACAGTTGATAGGGGGTCAGATAATCAATGCTCTACTGTAATCCCATTTAGAATATTCTTAATTTATAAATAAAGAATACATTTACTAAGATAAATAAAATAGCAATTTCAATAACTACTTTGAATGACTTTATTAATATTAATTAATGCACAAAACAAGTTAGTGAATGACTTTCAACACACACAAGCAGGTAACAATATGAAACTGGAAGGAGTATGATGCAGCCAATCAGAAATGGTTTAAGTCATTGCTACACTGTATATATCTAGCCACTGTACTGTGGATAACAAGTTGATATTGAGTAACTAAATAACATTATTTTTAAAAAATCCATCTCTGTTAAATATGAGTATTCAGACTTGGGATATTGTTCTTTGAAAGAACTCAATTATATATATTATTCTATGATAATAACATGGGCTTAAATTAAAGCATTCTTTTAATTAAAAAGTTTTTACATTAATTTATGTTTAGTATTAGATGGTAA